ATAGGATGGATAGAATTTTGCTTAACTTTTTCTGATTTCTGTCTTCCATATTTCAGACCTGAGATTAATGTATAAATTATTGCTTGAAGATAAGGAATGGAAATTTTCCTAAAAATAAATATTACAAGAAATAATGAATTGCCACAGTATAATGTTCAACAAGTAAACACAGGAAATCGACACAGGCCTGTAGCTACCCTCAGAGCTAGGGAGGCCCTGTCTCCCTTCTGAGGACATGAAATCCAGGACTTAACGTTTTTCATGAACAGCTACTAAAAGCAGGGGAAATATCTTGTCCCCACATACATACTATAATCCAGCATAGTCTTTATCTTAACTTTACTCCTGTTCCTGTTTAACCTATGTATACATGAGGAAAATAAGCTAAACATGCTCCTCCTCATAGCCATTTTCTCTGTAATTTATTTACTTTTTCCAATTTGGAAATACCCATAAATGAAAGTCATTACTTTAGTCTGTCATAGAAACACTGTCCTTGAGTTATACATATTTTAATTCTATGCTCTAGGATGTTGTCAAAAATTGATTTTAAAAATTCCCAGCCATACGGAGAGCCTCTTGGCATATTTTGTAAAAATCACTGTTGAAGATTTTATTCATTTTATGTTTTTCGGTGATGCCTTGTAGAAAGATCTATGCTAAATAGTTCCTTTATAATTTAACATAGAGAAACTTTGTCTTTCATCTCTGAACTTATTTTTTGTTTCTTTTTTGTCAGACAATAAAAATCTAAGTTTCATTTAGCAGATACCTATGTTGATTTGTTCACCTTTGTAAACCCCAGGACAGGGGCTTGCATGTTGCAGTAATATTTGTTGAATGAATTCATTCAACCATAATTTCTTCTTTTGTGTTGGTTGCAAAGAAAGTTAGGGCTAAATGCAGTAACTGTAATAGTCTATGTTGTTGGTATATTTATTTTCTTTAACAATTCTGATTTCATGTTTTCAATTTCTATTTAAACAATTTCAATTTAAACAATATGGAAGAAAAATACAAATGTATTTTAATTATAAAACACTGCAAACTCTGAAAACTGGTATAGGATGTCATAAAATAAAAAATATTTTATTTTCTAGATAATTAAAACCAATATCATCTGACTTCATTTTATAAAGTACCTAACAACTTATAAAATTAAGTACATTTTTACTGGAAAAAATATAGCCCTTTTTTTGAAGCATGAACAAACTTTTAGACAGAAAACACAATCAGAAAATATACATAAATACTGGATAAAGAAAAACAAATAGTTGAATTTCATTTTTTTTTCCATTAGAAGACATGAGGGGTATATATACACACACACACACACATATATACACATATATATGAAAGAAAATGTTGCAAATTTCAAGAGGTGTAAAACATTTGCTATTTAAAAACTTCCCAAAGGACAGTTTAATTTTAGCAATTTAAAACAATGAAAAGCCTGGAAAGCCCTAGCTTCGTGGTTTTGTAAAATCTGTGTTCCCTGAATCTTTCTGTGGGTGTACAGACAGACTTAAATCTAAGCCCAAGTCTTATAGTGATGAAGGGAGAATAACATTAAATGGCCTGTTTAGCTCATTTGACAGGTATCCTGTCACTGGGTTTTGAAATGAAGAGATCCAAAGCCCTTTATTCAAAACCCAGTAATGCCTTGGGTCTCATTAAAGGACAGAGGGTAGAATAGAGACCCAAATCAGATGCAACCAGAAAGTAATACTGGCAGGGATGATTGAGCAAACTCTTTGGTTTCCTGGTGCCGACTACATTTATGTGCCTTTGAGGATCATGGAATTCAGTCTCTGAGCAAGTCTGCCACACTCTAGTATACTGTACATATTAGTCTTGTTGAAGGCATTGCTCCCTTCGTTTGCATTTTTTACACGTTTTGGTAATTCACCTCCTGCTGATCCTTGCTGGGATCTCTTTTAACTGATATTAAAAATGAGATACAATTAATTTATTTTAAGAGTTAGGCTTTCTTTCAAGAAGATCTCCATTTTCTAATCAGAAACATGTGTTCCTGTATTAATGACTCTTAAAGTAGGCTCAAACAAAAAACTGGGAGAGATAAGTAAGGGTTTTTAATCTATAGTATTAATGACATATAAGGCAAAAATAAGAGTGTGTTAGATCCTTACTTCCCTCTGGTGGGAGAGTCCGTGAATGTGTGTCTAACACGGGAAGTGGCTATGATATTAAATGAGCTGTGAGCACACAGCAAACTTTGAGGGATAGGAGTCACACAGTTCCTGTTTTCCCTCCTTGGACAGATTTTAGCATGTGAAATAGAAATTAAGAGGACAATGACACATAGACTCTCTATTTGGTTCCTTTTAGTTTTTTCCAAAGTTCGTGTTCCCAAATTCAGGAAACTAAATACTATTGGAAGCTTGGAAATGTTGAGGAACATGACTATTACTTAAATGATTTCTAAAGAGGGTGTATATTGTATTCTAATGAAACCATTAATGAAGATAAATATATCTAAAATAAATGTCTTGAGAATCTTAAAGTATGCAATCAGTGTTTAACCAGGAATTACAAGCTTCAATTGACATTATCTTTGTTCCTGTCTTAAACTTGGATTTCAACAAACATGTATTTTTAAAATTTACTTTTATCTTAAAAGTTTTTCTTTAAGAGTTTTCAGGATAAATCTGACATCAAACTAGAAGATCCTGGACTACACTGAATGACAGAAGAATTTTAATTTGCATGTATTAAAAATGTATTTTTTTCTTCCGATACCCAATAAAGTAATAAGATACGAAAAACATGCCAATTAAGAACAGTGACACTCAACATTAGAGATAATCTGTTTAAAACCAAATCCATATATAAATACTTTTTGGAATAAAAATTCAATTATCAAATCTCTTTGAAATGGGCAAAATGTTAACATGCAATATAAATGACTTTGAGAGACCAGTAGAATCTCTCATGATATTTATGGGAACAATTTTATAAATGCATATATATTTGTATAGTGACACAGATCAACTTGAAGAGTTCTTTGTTTCAGGAACAAAATTCTCAGGGAGAGGCTTGATTTTTCAATGAGTACAAAGACGGATGGTTCACTAAAGAAGGTATGCATAAATTCTACATTTTTGAAGATTTTTCCAAATGAATTAGTTTGCAAAGTAGGAATAAAGGTATTTTAATTGCAGTTAGTAGCAGTGGCTTATAACACCATCAAAATATAATAATTGTTTATAAAAATATAAACAATTTAAATTTGTTTTCATTTAAAATTTAAAATATATACAATTAGCCTCCGACTTTGATTTTTCATTATTATCTTTTATTATTTTTAAAAATATTTCTGTGGATCAGCATATCACAATGTACATTCTTGGAAACATTAATACTGCAAAACATGCTGCAAAATGTGTTATCAAACAACTTTGTTAAAAGCTGTGTATTATAAGGAACTATTTATAATTTTATTAGATATGATTATAGTATTGTAATTTTGTTAAAAAATTATTGATTTTTTTTTAAGATGCATGCTATTTGTGAATGAAATGATGAAATTTCCAGGATTTGCTTCCACATATTATGAAAATAGAGGAAAAGGATAGGGGTGAGGACAGGGATGGGTTAGCCATGGGTTGGTGTTACTGGACTTGAATGATGAGTACTTATGGGTTCAGTATGCTATAGAGCCTACATTTGTGTATTTTACCTTTATTTGAAACAAAAAGTAAAACAAATAAATAAAAGATGTATGTCTCTTAAATATTTTATAATGAACAAAAGAGCTGTGAGAAGTTCTGGGTAGAAGATCCATTTGTTTATATGAGCGCTTTCAAACTTATAGACCACTGAACTATTCTCTTCAAGGAACATCTGTAAATATCTCTCCCGGACACTTTAGGAATGGCTACATAATAGTAGAGCCAATGTCTTTCCATGTATAATTGTCCATGATAATTTCTGTCTTATAGCGCATAAAAATTCCATCTACATATTGAAAAACATTAAGATAAAATGTGGGAAATGTTTAAAATATCTTTTATTTCCAAATTCTAAGAGGTTTCAGATGTCTATAAGTATATTAACTAATTTTTTTCAGTGTCATAGACATTTATCCTGTTGTTAAAGAAAACAAAATTTCAGAAAGAAAGAAAGAATAGATGGTAGTAAATATTTTAAAAGATAAGAAACTACTCTTTTTGACTGAATATTTGCCATAAATCTAGTTATGATTGCTTAATATCGAAATGAAAAGCTCTGCCTAAAAACTTCACATATCATTATCAACCTATATAATACTATTTATATATTTTATCCCAAATTTCTATAACATTTAAGTATCTGTTAAAATTTCAATTGCATACACATGAATTATTTCTCACTCTAGAAAAGTTAGATTAGCTAGAGACATTCTTCAAAGTGAAATAATTGCTAAATATGATTTATATTTTTATATAAGGTGTTTTATAATTTTGCATGTCTGAGAAACTACATTTTAGTTTCAAAATAAGCTAAGGAAATTTACTATTAAAAAAACTATATATACATTTTTAACTTTGCATCTAAATAAGACAACCTGCATTACTGTTTGTAGCTGTCCTTTCTAGCTTTTTAGAGACTAGCAAACTTTTCATTGTTGACCTTTACGAAAATTTAAACAAGAACACTTGCATTTATTACAATATATTGCCAAAAATTGCATTGATTTCCACTGATGCTATTAATTTGATGAATGTTTTGTTATTTGTACCATTTGCACAGTCAAAACAAGCTAATTATGTCTTAGTGACATTTTTGACAATTGCTTTAACTCTGGCAAAGAAAAGTATGTCTTCTTTGCTTGAACAAAAAATTACTCTTGCCTAATGAAAGCTTGAACTAGGCAAGAGAAGACTAGCACATGTTAGAAGTCTTGCAAGTTTCACTTTGGAATAAGTGGTAAACAACCATTTCCCAGGACTCTCTTTTAATAGAAGAGCTCACATTTTGTAGAAGAAAATATTATGTACCTGCATAATCTGTTCTTGCATAATGCCCATCTTCAGACTTAGTAGTTGTAGTTGTGTTATCTGTGTTAAAAAATTAACAACACACATTGATTAACTGTTTCCTAAATATCTAATATGAAACTTACATATTTCCTCCAACAATATCTTCATTGCAATTAAGGAATTTTTACAACTGGAGTTCTAAGCAACCTGTATACTAAGACAGATTTACAATGTCAATTTCTGTTTGAGAGCAAATAGTAAAATGAAGAGAGCTTTCTAAAGTTTGAGAAAAGAAGAAGATTCATAATTATAACTGAGAAAAATTGGGCAAAGGAGTAGCAAATCAAAAACTAAGAAAATGCTTGTTTCTGAACAAGAAAGAAAATAGAATATTCTAGTACCTCTTGCTTTTAAAAATGCATTTTAAATATTTGTACTGAATCAATACATAAAAATGAAGTTATTTGCTTTTAGTTTCAAGGATGCCTAATAAATTCTTAGATTTGTTTTAAAAATGTCTTTGACTTTCTTTTTTCCCTTTGCAAGAAAATTGTCTGCTATCTTGTGAATATTAGCTTCTGTGTTTATGGCGTTGTGACAATACAGTTCCATTGTATAGAGACAGATCTGGACGGTTGCTGAGAGCCCCTCAAAATCCTATAATTGACAAAAATGCTACAGTAGACTCTACGATCCATTGTAAATAAGAACTGCATTTTGAAAATGGAATAGCTGCCTAATAAGGAGTTTTCTTCACTTTTCATTTTTGCACAAAGACTAAAAACATTCTTCGAAATGAATTTTGGTATGAACATTACCTTGACATCGACCCAAAGACATGACTTCAATTTTCTCCTGTTTCTGACACGATGCTTCTTTGATTTGACATGCATTATCATAAGATTTCCCATCAGAAGCACAGAGGGGATTGAAGTTGGTTTGAGAACAGTCAATATTACACACACACCTAAAAAAACCAGAGAAATAAAAACATGTAATATCAATAGTGTTGTTACCGCATTATAAATAAAATACAAATGAAAGAATTGCTAAGTTGACAAAATGCAAGTCGGCAAAATTGAATTGTATCCTTCCAGGGAAGTTCCTTCACTTTCCTACCTGAGAAGAAAAGAAACACAGAACTAATAGAAAATAATTCAAACAACTGAGCAATGGATAAAAAATGAAAAGGAAAAACTCAAAAATGATCATGAGTTAATCTCTGCCCTGGAACTTTAAAAACATGTACATAAATTTCCATGCTGATGTCTGCAGAATAGGAATAGGCTGAGGTAGTCACGAAACTCTGCTTTAGAGTTTTCTTAAATTGAATCTTACTCTTTCTTCTTTTTTTGGGATATTTGACTGGTTAAAGCTTGTGGAAAACTGACTCAGAGGACAGGTCAGAGAAAGCAAACAAGTAAATTATTGGGCATGCAATCAGGAGTTGTATTTCTTTGGCATAAATAAGGATGCACATAAAATGTACTAAATGGTAATCTTCAGTTGTCCTTAACATTTTGGGGGGAGGCCACAAAACCCTTTGGAAAAATGAAAGCTATAGATCTCTCCCCAGAAATATCCATGTTCATATAAACAACGCTTCTGTATAAAATTTCAGGGTTGTCTTGGGCCCCTTTAGGCATATCCTCTGAAACCCCTTCCCAGGTATACAGTGCTATTTTTCTACCCCTCATTTTAAATAATCAAATAATAAATACAAGTTGATTGCCACTCATGATGTTAATATTTTTCTATAATCTAAATAAAAATTCGGTAATTTAATAAGAATTAGGTTACCTAAAGAAGAATTAAACATTTTAAAGAAAATTTTACATGATTGTTCCTATGTCATTATACTTCTCTATTGTATTATTCTGAATATTGGGTCTTGTGTGCTTTTTGGTGTGTGTGTACAACCATGTTACAGCTTTAGAATATAAACTCATATTTCACATTTTTATTAATATTTATGTTGTTTTATAAATAGATTATATGTTTCCCAAAGTCATGAAGCATACATTTTTACTTCTGTATATCTTACTGAGAGCTAGGCATACAATGGCAAGCAGGTTACTACATGCTAGACTCTCAACATGTATTGCTTTATTTAATCCTCACAATAGCTGTTTCACAGACCAAAGATTTACATAAAGGTAAATTGTGGAATAAGGACCCACTCATAGATTTAGTAAGCTAAAACCCAACCCCTTCTCTCTAATACCACAGACTGTGTTATTACAATCTCCTGGAGAACTTTTAAGTATACGGATTCATAAGCAGATTTCTGGGCTCCAGTAAATCTAGGGTAGCTTCTAACATTCTATATTCTTAAGTAGTCATCCTGGCACCAGACTCAATTCCTGGGAATCACTGCTTGATCAGTCTGTTGATTGAGTGAGAGAGGGTTTGTCTACACACCAGTGCATCTCAGAGTGTAGCCCTTAGACCATCTGTGTCAGAATTACCTAGATTGCTGTTTAAAAATGCTGGCAGAAAATGTGCTAATGAACTTTTTTTTTTGTAAGAGAATTGCTGTAGGAATGCCTGGTTATTTTTACATTTACCTATTTAGGAACAAATAGCTAGAACAGATGGCAACCATCTCTAAACACTTAACTCATCGAGGAGTGGTGTTCCTACCTCAGCTTTGATGTTGCCATGTGATCACAAGCTACTGGAACATGACATTGCTACCTCAGTTGACTCTTGGCATCTGAAAACCTGAGATCAGGAGCTGCCTATGTGTTCAAAGAGCTTCTGGTTCTTACAGAGTGGATGTGGATAAGTGGCTTTGTAGGCCAAGCCTTAATCATTATATTAAATAAAAAAGGAGTGGGGAGGTTGATATTTGCATTTTTAAAAAGGTAGCTTCTTTTGCCTTCAATCCAGTTTAGATTCTGACTGTTTGTTGTTGTGTTAGACTCTAGGAATTATCTCCTTCAAGGTCTTCTATAAAGTTGTTTTTTAGCAGGAGAAAAACACAGAGAAAGGTATGTACTGCCATTTGTCTACCTAAATGGTAAATTAGATAAGATATCAGGGCTTTGAAGGTATCTCCAAATCAACTCCAAAGAAATTTAGAAATATATATACAGTACATTTCTAAATATATATATATAGACAAAAACTAATTGGCAGTTCAGAAACCCATTTGATAGCATGACAAAATGGTGCAAAAGGAATAGATATGGTGATATGGTTTGGCTGTGTATCCACCCAAATTTCATCTTGAATTGTAGCTCCCATAATTCCTATGTGTTGTGGTAGCGACCTGGTAGGAGACAATTGAATCATGGGGGCAGGTATTTCCCTTGCTGTTCTCATGATAGTGAATAAGTCTCAAGAGATCTGATGGTTTCATAAAGGGAAATTTCCCTACACAAGCTCTCTTCTCTTGTCTGCTGCCACGCCTTTCACTTTCTGCCATGATTGTGAGGCCTCCCTACCCACTTGGAACTGTGAGTCCATTAAACCTCTTTCTTTTGTAAATTGCCCAGTCTTGGGTATGTCTTTATCAGTAGTGTGAAAATGGACTAATACAGATAGAAAGGTAACATTTGATTGAACTGGACTGGTTAGAATCAATGTTTCAGTGAAAAATTCACTTAACCTTTAACACTAAATTGAAAAATTGTGTGGAATATTTTACAAGATTCTCCAGTTGGTGTATTTATTTATTTATTTATTTATTTATTTATTTATTTTCAGTTTGACTAATCTTATTTTAGTCCCACAGCTTTTCTGCTGCTGACATCCTCTCCCCCTTTCTTTCCTAGCATTGCTCACTCAAGGCCTCCTTTCAAGATTTGTTTCCTCTCGAAATTCCTGGCTCTTGTTGCTGCAAATAAAGCCTTTCATGGAATAGCTAAGAAACAGGGATAGACGGTTGATGTTTTTATTCTCAGCCCAAGAGGAGAACATAGATTCATTCCTTGAAGTGAGTTTCCCTGGGATATAAGCTTCAGGAAAGCATGGATTATATTGGTCTTTTTCTCAATTGCATATCCTCATCATTAACCAACATCTTTGCTCCCTACTCTATATACTTGCATATATTAAATAAATGCAAGAGTACATTTTAAAAATACTTCATATGGCTCTCAGCAATCATTGGAAATTGGAAATCTATGGAGAATATTTTTCTTTTTGTGAATAAGTGGAAGAAAATTCAAAGATTTGCTAAAATGGCTTGAAAACAATAAGCTGGCCAGGCATGGTGGCTCATGCCTGTAATCCCAGCACCCTGGGAGGCCAAGGTGGGCAGATCGCCTGAGATCAGGAGTTCGAGACCAGCCTGGCCAATACGGTGAAACACTGACTCTACTAAAAATACAAAAATTAGCCAGATGTGCTGGTGGGCACCTGTAATTCCAGCTACTCAGAGGCTGAGGCAGGAGAATCACTTGAATGGGAGAGGTGGAGGTTGCAGTGAGCTGAGATCCCGCCATTACACTCCAGCCTGGGCAACAGAATGGGACTCTGTTTCAAAACCAAACCAAAACAAAACACAAAAATGATGAAGCTTGGGGAAAAGGAAATGTTGTGACTGGATTACCAAGGACCTACCATTTCTATGTTTCCGAAAGACCAGTAAACTCTGATTACATAATCATTATTTACTGTATTCCATGTATCTATGTCTATTAAGCTTACTCAATTAGAAAAACATGCAGGATTCCAGGACCACAGTCTGAAACTCCAAGTCCATCTTGATCTCTATTTGCAGTGATTGAATTATCTTTGCATTCCCCAATGGGCCCAATACCTTGCACACATGAAACTTTCAATAACTACATGTTGAATAGATAGCTAAACGAAATGAATGAATACACTAACAATTTTACATTCTTAAAGAAAGGTTGCTATTCTAAAAGTTACTATTACTATGCCCATCTTACAGACAAGAAAATTGAGACTTGGAGAAATCTCACAGCTTGCAAATGGAAGAGCCTAAATTAAAATCTAGGCAGTCTGATGCCAGAGCCTGCCCTGTTCTACATACTGAAAGTACAAGGAAAGACAGACCCAAACTCCTATCACAGACCCAAATTCCTATCATTCACTGATTAAAGGAATCCTTTGAGTAAGTAGGATTTGGAAAACAAGGCTATGTCTGCTCTTGGAATATGTATCATGATTTTATGAATCTAAATCATATTGACTCTTGGTCCTTGTCTTCTCAAACAAGCAATCCAGACTTTTTGTGTATCACTGGGATACATCAGTGAATGTTAGTTTTAAGACATTGCAAACTAAAACCTGGTTTTAGAATTAGTAACTAATTTTATGGGCGTTAGATTAACCTATCTAAAGCATCAGTTGCTCAAAATATTTTATCCTTAAATAAAATGCTATATAAAGATCCACATGAAAACGAATATTTATACACAAATACACACACACAGACACACACACAAATGTATAGCTCAATGGACTCTACTGAAATTACAAAATTAGAGAGTTTTAGCATTAATCTTTTTCCAAGTGTCTGCTTCAAAACTTTCAAAGAGGCATTTTGGGAAGTTTACATTCATGGGGTAGCGGGGGTTTTGTGTGTTTATATGAGTGAAAAAATGTGTGTGTGTTGGGGGTGGGGGGTTCACACTCACCTTCATGGTGCATTTACTGCATTGGTAATTTGCCTGTTTACTTGTTTATACCTCTACCTTTCTGAAACCTTCTCAAGGGCAAGGTGTTTTACTTACCTTTGACATCCTGGTACCTAGTACAGTGCATTACAAACATCTTCAATAGATGGTTGTTGAATAAATTACTGAGAGAATGGCGGATGGTGTTGAAGGAATTGAAAATATTCATTGTGTTGTATATTAACTGTGTGTTATATATTAACATCTAGGAGAGATAACTTTGTGCTACTTGGCAGACGTGGGGTCTCCAAAGGAGATGTGGTTCTTGAAGAACTAAGGCTCACTGTCCTCCTTTTATTTGTGTTTCCACAGACAA